GCGGGAGAGAAGGGAAACGGGAGAGAAGGGGAGCTGGAGATAAGGGGAGCCTAAGAGATAAGGGGAGAGGCAGACAAGGGGAGCTGGAGAGGATGGGAGCGAGAGAGAAGGGAAGAGAAAGAAGAAGGGCAGCGGGAGAGAAGGGAAGCGGTAGAGAAGGGAAGCAGCAGAGAAGGGGGGCCTAAGAGATGAGGGGAGAGGCAGAGAAGGGGAGCAGGAGAGAATGGGAGCGGGAGAGAAGGGAAGAGAGAGAAAAAGAGCAGCGGGAGAGAAGGGAAGCGGGAGAGAAGGGGAGCGGGAGAGAAGGGGGGCCTAAGAGATGAGGAGAGAGGCTGAGAAGGGGAGCAGGAGAGAATGGGAGCGAGGGAGAAGGGAAGAGAGACAGAAGGGCAGCGGGAGAGAACGGGAGCGGGAGAGAAGGGGAGCGGGAGATAAGGGAGCCTAAGAGATGAGGGGAGAGGCAGAGAAGGGGAGCAGGAGAGAATGGGAGCGAGCAAGAAGGGAGAGAGAGAGAGAATGGCAGCAGGAGAGAAGGGGAGAGAGAGAGAAAAGGGAGGAGAGAGAGAGAAGGGAAGCGAGAGAGAAGGGGAGCGGTAGAGAAGGGGAGCTGGAGATAAGGGGAGCCTAAGAGATAAGGGGAGGGGCAGAGAAGGGGAGCAGGAGAGAATGGGCGCGAGAGAGAAGGGGAGAGAGAGAGAGAATGGCAGCGGGAGAGAAGGGGAGAGAGAGAGAGAGAAGGGAAGAGAGAGAGAAAAGGGAAGCGGGAAAGAAGGGGAGCGGGAGAGAAGGGGAGCTGGAGATAAGGGGAGCCTAAGAGATAAGGGGAGATGCAGAGAAGGGGAGCTGGAGAGAATGGGAGCGAGAGAGAAGGGAAGAGAGAGGGAGAAGGGAAGCGGGAGAGAAGGGAAGCGGGAGAGAAGGAAAGCGGGAGAGAAGGGGAGTGGGAGATACGGGGAGCCTAAGAGATGAGGGGAGGCAGAGAAGGGGAGCAGGAGAGAATGGGAGCGAGAGAGAAGGGTAGAGAGAGAAGAAGGGCAGCGGGAGAGAAGGGAAGCGGGAGAGAAGGGAAGTGGGAGAGAAGGGGAGCGGGAGATACGGGGAGCCTAAGAGATGAGGGGAGAGGCAGAGAAGGGGAGCAGGAGAGAATGGGAGCGAGAGAGAAGGGTAGAGAGAGAAGAAGGGCAGCGGGAGAGAAGGGAAGTGGGAGAGAAGGGAAGCGGGAGAGAAGGGGAGCGGGAGAGAAGGGGAGCCTAAGAGATAAGGGGAGAAGCAGAGAAGGGGAGCAGGAGAGGATGGTAGCGAGAGAGAAGGGGAGAGAGAGAGAGAGAAGGGCAGCGGGAGAGAAGGGGAGCGGGAGAGAAGGGAGCCTAGGAGATGAGGGGAGAGGCAGAGAAGGGGAGCAGGAGAGAATGGAGCGAGAGATAAGGGAAGAGAGAGAGAGAGAAGGAAGCAGGAGAGGTGGGGGAGCGGGAGAGAAGGGGAGCTGGAGATAAGGGGAGTCTAAGAGATAAGGGGAGAGGCAGAGAAGGGAGCAGGAGAGAATGGGAGCGAGAGAGAAGGGTAGAGAGAGAAGAAGGGCAGCGGGAGAGAAGGGAAGTGGGAGAGAAGGGAAGCGGGAGAGAAGGGGAGCGGGAGAGAAGGGGAGCCTAAGAGATAAGGGGAGAAGCAGAGAAGGGGAGCAGGAGAGGATGGTAGCGAGAGAGAAGGGGAGAGAGAGAGAGAGAGAAGGGCAGCGGGAGAGAAGGGGAGCGGGAGAGAAGGGAGCCTAGGAGATGAGGGGAGAGGCAGAGAAGGGGAGCAGGAGAGAATGGGAGCGAGAGAGAAGGGAAGAGAGAGAGAGAGAAGGGAAGCAGGAGAGGTGGGGAGCGGGAGAGAAGGGGAGCTGGAGATAAGGGGAGTCTAAGAGATAAGGGGAGAGGCAGAGAAGGGGAGCAGGAGAGAATGGCAGGAGAGAGGATGTGAGCGAAAGAGAAGGGAGGGGGGAGATATAATGAAGGCGGGTCCAACTTGAAAGGGCCCAGAAGTTCGGTGTCCGCGATTAAGGGACACACGGTTGGGGCAGAGGGGTTCACCGTCCCGACATGCGAGCAGGGGAAACTGCGCGAGCATGTGCGGTTACTTGATTTGTTGGCGGGAAACCCCGTTTCATTTGGTGGGAAGCGGGGCATGAGCAGCACTTGGCACGAACAAACTCAAGTCGCAAACAGCGCGCGACCAGTCGCACAGTCCCACTGCCTGCAAGTTGAACCAAGTGGATCCAAGTTGAATTTCAAGTTGGACCCGGGTTCACTACACCTGCTAAACCAAGGCTGGTTACCGATGGGTTTAAATTATTTTCTGTGCATGACAGTGGTCGTATGATGTGTCACGATAACATACCCGTCGAGGTGCAATTCGATTTCGTGGCCCAATGCATGCAAAAAAATCCGGGCTGCAGCCCGGAGTGAAGCAAAATGTTGTGCCGTTGAGTCGTTTCTACATGGGCCCCAGTAAGAAAGAGGGTCACTACTATAACCTCTGGCCTCGTTGTTAGGACTACACCTGTCTTGCGCTGTCCTTGCCATGGCTGTACAACATCCAACCTTATAGAATGGTGCAATCAAGAAGGGGCCAGGGGAGAAGGGGAGAAGGGGATCGGGCAGAGGGAGAGAAAGGGAGCGGGAGAGGAGTGGAGCGGTTGCGGGGGGAAAGAAGGGGCATATGGGAAAGCGGGAGGAGGTGGAGACGAGCGGGAAAGAAGTGGGCTGGTGAAGGCGGGAGAGGGTAGAAGGGGGAGGGGGGGACGAGGGGGTTTCCGGGTTGAGAGAACCTGGGAAGTTGGAGGGTGAGAGATATAGAGGGGGGGGTTTGGAAAGAGACGCGGTGGGCGGGAGCAGGAGAGAATGGGAGCGAGAGAGAAGGGTAGAGAGAGAGAGAAGGGCAGCGGGGAGAAGGGAAGCGGGAGAGAAGGAAGCGGGAGAGAAGGGGAGCGGGAGAGAAGGGGAGCCGAAGAGATAAGGGGAGAGGCAGAGAAGGGGAGCAGGAGAGGATGGTAGCGAGAGAGAAGGGGAGAGAGAGAGAAGGGCAGCGGGAGAGAAGGGAGCGGGAGAAGGGGAGCGGGAGATAAGGAGCCTAAGGGATCAGGGGAGAGGCAGAGAAGGGAGCAGGAGAGAATGGAGTGAGAGAAAAGGGAAGAGAGTGAGAGAAGGGCAGCGGGAGAGAAGGGTAGATGGATAAGGGAGCCTAAAGAGATAGGGGAGAGGCTGAGAAGGGGAGCAGGAGAGAATGGGAGCGAGAGAGGAGGGAAGAGAGAGAGAGAAGGGCAGCGGAGAGAAGGTAGAGGGAGATAAGGGAGACAAAGAGATAAGGGGAGAGGCAGAGAAGGGAGCAGGAGAGAATGGAGCGAGAGAGAAGGGAAGAGAGAGAGAGAAGGCAGCAGGGAGAAGAGGATCTGGAGATAATGGAGCCTAAGAGATAAGGGGAGGGCAGAGAAGTGGAGATGGAGAGAATGGAGCGAAGAGAAGGGAAAGAGAGAGAGAGAAGGCGCGGAGAGAAGGGCAGCGGGAGAAGGGAGCGGGAGAGAAGGAGAGCGGGGGAGAAGGGGAGCTGGAGAGAAGGGGAGCCTAAGAGAAAGGGGAGAGGATTTAGCGAGAGAGAAGGGGGGAGAGAGAGAGAAGGAGCGGGAAGAAGGGCAGCGGGAGAGAAGGGAGCCTAAGAGATGAGGGGAGAGGCAGAGAAGAGGAGCTGGAGAGAATGGGAGAAGAGAAGGAAAGTGAGAGAAGGCAGCGGGGAGAAGGAAACGGAGAGAAGGAAGCGGGAGAGAAGGGGAGCGGGAGAGAAGCAGAGCTGGAGATAAGGGAGCCTGAGAGATGAGGGGAGAGGCAGATAAGGGAGCAGGAGAGACATGATGTGAGGAGCCTGGGGAGTGCGGGAGAGGCATGTCTTGGAGTTGCATGTTTTCTTTGCCATGGTGGCTGGAGAATGACTGCTTCGGTGTGCATGTGGGGATGGGGGGAAGGGAGAGGGAGTTTGGGTGAGGAAGGGAGGGGGAAGGGTGACAGACAGACAACGGAGCATGGAAGAGAGAGGAGGTGGGAAAGGGTGTGGGGACATATGAAGGTGGGTGACAGGGAGGGAGGTAGAGGGATCAGGAGCGGATACTGTTCCTGCAACGTTACGGGGGTGTGAATCCTCCGGCCAAGTCACACGCCCTCGCCCCTCCCCCCCGAACAGATCTCCCCGGCCCGCAGCACTGCTGCTGCGACCCCCCCACGCTCACTGGTCGCTCACACTACACTCACACAACTGTAGCACGCATGTCGTAAGGAGGAGTTGGTGAGGGGTATGTTGGACAGCGTGTGTTGGCAGGTGGGTGGCTGGAGAGTGGGAGGAGTGGGTGTCGCTGGGGGCGGGTCAGAGTGAGTTAGGAACGGCAAGGAACGGGGGCGCCATCTGTGCTCCAGTCACTGTCTCTCTCCCCCCCCACCCCTGATCAGATTTCCTCTGGCCCGCAGGCTACCATCGCTGGCACCCCCTCACTCACTGGCGCACTCACTGCACTCACACGGTGGTAAGCCCGCATATTAGTACGCGAGCGGGGGTGCGGAGCCGGTAGAGATTGGGAGCAAAAGGTAGCGAGTAGGGCGAGAGCGGAAAAGAATGATAGGATCGAAGAAGGGAGCGGGAAAGAGCGGGGTGGGAAAGAATGGGAGAGAAGGGAGCGGCGAAGAGCGGGGTGGAAAGAATGGAGAGAAGGGAGCGAGGAGAAGCGGAGTGGGAGAGAAGGAGAGGAAAGGGGATTGTGGGAGAAAGTGAGACTGGAGTGAGGCACGGGTGACAGCATTGCTATTCGCTAGCTGGTGGCTGGACAGCGGGGGCGGTAAGGTCAGTGAAGGCGGAGGAGGGAGAGGGTGAGTGGGAGGGTGCTCATAATCGAGGAAGGGGGGTTGTTGTGAAGGTGAGAGATATGCGGATGAGAGGTTTGAAGAGAGTAGGTACAGTAGGTTTAGGATTGTGCGTACACTGCACTTTGTGCTACCTTTGCGGAGCGTCTCCCTTTCCCCCTCCACTCCTCTCCCTTTCCCCTCCCTCTCTCCCTTTCCCCTGCCCTTCTCTCCCTTTCCCTGCCCTCTTCTCCTTTCCCCGCCCTCCCCTTTCCCCTGCCCTTCCTTCCCCCTCCATCCTCTCATTCCCCTGCCCCCTCCCTTTCCCCTGCCTTCTCTCCCTTTCCCCGTGCCCTCCTCTCCCTTTCCCCCTGCCCTCTCCCTTTCCCTGCCCTCCTCTCCCTTTCCCCCTCTCCCTTTCCCCCTCCCCCTCTCCCTTTCCCCCTGCCTCTTCCTTCCCCCTGCTCCCCCCTTTCCCCGCCCTCTCTCCTTTCCCCCCTCCCCTCCCTCCTTTCCCGCCTCCTTTCCCTTTCCCCTGCCCTCCTCTCACTTCCCCCTGCCCTTCTCTCGCTTTCCCCCTGCCCTCCACTCCCTTCCCCATGCCCTCCTCTTCCTTTCCCCGCCCTTCTCTCCCTTTCCCCGTGCCCTCCTCTCCCTTTCCCCGCCTCCTCCTCTTTCCCCCTCCCTCCTCTCCCTTTCCCCCTGCCCTCCCTCCCTTTCCCTGCCCTCCCCTTTCCCCCTGCCTTCTCTCCCTTTCCCCGTGCCCTCCTCCCTTTCCCCCTCCCCTCGTCTCCCTTTCCCGCCTCCTCTCCTTTCCCCCTGCCCTCGTCTCCCTTTCCCCCTCCTCCTCCCTGTCCCCCTGCTCTTCTCTCCTTTCCTCTTGCCCTTCTCCCTTTCCCCCTGCCCTCTCCCTTTCCCCTGCCCTTCTCCCTTTCCTGCCCTCCTCTCCTTTCCCCCGCCCTTCTCTCCCTTTCCCCTGCCTTCTCTCCCTTTCCCCTGCCCTCTTCCCCTTTCCCCGCCCTTCTCTCCCTTTCCCCTGCCCTTCTCTCCTTTCCCCTGCCATCCGCTCATTTCTCCCTGCCCTCCACTCCCTTTCCCCCTGCCCTTCTCTCCCTTTCCCCGTGCCCTCCTCTCCCTTTCCCCTGCCCTTCTCTTCCTTTCCCGCCCGCTCTCTTCCCCTGCCCTTCTCTCCCTTTCCCCCTCCCCCCTCCCTTTCCCCTGCCTTCCCTCCCTTTCCCCGCCTCCTCTCTCCTTTCCCGCCCTTCTCCCTTTCCCCCATCCCCTCATCTCCCTTTCCCCTGCCCTCCTCTCCCCTTCCCGCCCTCCTCTCCCTTTCTCCCTGCCCTCCTCTCCCTTTCCCCGCCCTTATCTCCCTTTCCCCCTGCCCTCCTCTCCCTTTCCCCCTGCCCTCCTCTCCCTTTCCCCTGCCCTTCTCTCCCTTTCCCCTGCCCTTCTCTCCTTTCCCCCTGCTTCCTCCCTCCCCTGCCCTTCTCTCCCTTTCCCCCTGCCCTCCTCTCCCTTTCTCCCTGCCATCCTCTCCCCTTCCCCTGTCCTCCTCTCCATTTCCCCCCCCTCCTCCCTTTCTCCCTGCCCTCTCTCCCTTTCCCCCTGCCCTCTTCCCCTTTCCCCCTGCCCTTCTCCCTTTCCCCTGCCCTTCTCTCCCTTTCCCCCCTGCCCTCCTCCCTTTCTCCCTGCCATCCTCTCCCTTCCCCATGACCTCCTCCCATTCCCCCTCCCCTCCTCTCCCTTTCTCCCTGCCCTCTCTCCTTTCCCCCCCCCCTCTCCCTTTCCCCTCCCCTCTTCTCCCTTTCCCCCTGCCCTCCTCTCCCTTTCCCCCCTTCCCTTCCTCCCCTGCCCTTCTCTCCCTTTCCCCCCCCTTCTCTCCCTTTCCCCCTGCCCTTCTCTCCCTTAACCCTGCCATTCTCTCCCTTTCCCCCTGCCATCCTCTCCATTTCCCCCTGCCCTCCTCTCCCTTTCCCCCTGCCCTTCTCTCCCTTTCCCCGTGCCCGCCTCCCTTTCCCCTGCCCTCCTCTCCCTTTCCCCTGCCCTTCTCTCCCTTTCCCCTGCCCTCTCTCCCTTTCCCCCTGCCCTCCTCCCTTTCCCCCTGCCCTTCTCTCCCTATCCCCCTGCCCTTCTCTCCCTTTCCCCTGCCCTTCTTTCCCTTTCCCCCTGCCCTCCTCTCAGTTTAACCCCCTCACCCCAGCACTCTTTGCCGTATCCACCCTTTTTTTTCCTCCTGGCCTTCTCTCCCGGGATGTGCTTACTGGCTGGCGGGTGGAGGCTGGAGCTCCTGCGCCATCTCGAGATTAGGTTTAGTCGGCGGCGAGCAACGAGCCCACAGCACGTGGCTCGAGGCGAGGCGCGTGGTCTGTCGATTCCGCGTCTTACGCGGGGACCTCGTTTTCTTTGCGCCTCGGTCACAGGGCAGCTTAGCGCCAAGCTCGTCTGCACGCGTGCCGCATGCAGTGGCTAGCGCGACGAGGTAGAAGGCGAGCCCGGGGAAGCCTATGGTTGGGCCGCACATCCGGTGTTTGTGGCTACCGCGTTTCCCGATGCAGCTGACGACTTTTATAGCAGAGACGGGTTGGCGTACGTTTCTGTTATCTAATTTTAAGCCTCTAAGACCGGGCACGCACTATGGAATGGGCACGGCGTCACCAGCAGCTTATGATGTGACGACTTTGTAACTGTTCCCTTTGTTCTTGTTGGAATACTCGTAATCCTAGCTCCCTCACATGGGTCACGACAGGTTGGAACTCTTGAATTGTGTTTGTTTTGGGGGCAGATGGTACCTGTTTCTGATTGGCGCGTGTTCTGCAGCCCGCTGACATGAGTCGTCTGGGTTGCTAGGTGCTCTAGTCATGTCGCACACATTGTTTTTTCGTGTGTTGCCACACCTCCATGGGCGGTCAGCTGCCCAGGGGCGAAATGGAATGTCCATTCTGACGTTCGTGCGCCCGGGCTCGTTTTGCACACTGTACACCCCCTATCAAACTGGGCCCAACTAGAAAGGGGGTCATTATTGTATCTTCTCGCTTTAATCAACGGTTGATTTGAAGCAAAACGAACGTGAGCAAGGCGCGTGCATCATGTGATGGGTTGCTGTGAATGCATGTGCCGCATGACACACTACCAACACACTACGAAGCATCAGCTGGCCTCGGCGAACCAATTTTCCAAACTGCTGCAGTTCGGGGTCCATGTCGGCCCGAAGGAATCTACAAGAACGAGCGGCGGAAGCTTAGAGTTTGCGGCCTGCCCGCGGTCACTTCCCATCCATACATCCGAAAATTGGTAGGCCTGCTGGCGTAGAGTTTGAAAGACACTGTGAGATACCCTGTGGGGTATCTTTGACGCTGGAAAAAGTCAAAGCGCCAGGCGGGAAAACTGAAACAGAGGTTTGGATGGGTTTTTTGCAGCTCGGTTTGCACTTCGCAAGCTCGGAAACAAATCGGACTGCTTCGGAATTGAAATATGTGGGGCTCAGATTCCCCGGAAAATCTGACGAATGGTGAGCACCTGGTATTCTCGACTCTGTTGAAAGGTGGAGGTTGCTTTCAATTACAGTAACATGGTTCAAAGTAAAGGAAATCTAATCTTACACATGTTGCACATATTTCAATCAAGTGAAGGTTATCGTGGAAAACCAATAATTTTAAAAATCCTGTTAAATTCCAGTGATTATCATAAATAGTTTCTTTCTACATGATTTTCATGTTTGAAATTTCCTAATAGCACTTTTATGTTTAATTTTTCTGCTATCACTTCATTGGCATGGTTTTATTTCACTTATAACTAACATGCTATTTTATGAACTCCAACTGTGTACCACATTGCGAAAATACAGAGATGCTTGGGGTATTCAGCATAATTAGTGATGTTCATCAGTCTCATGCGTAACTTGGCTATGCATCCAAGTAGTGCACTGCGCTACCGTACTGTAAGTTGTAACAGAGTGTGTTTAAAAGCGCCAGCACGCTGCTTCCCTAACATCTGCCAGGTCAAGGTTTGGTGTGTGTTTCCTCAAAGCTCCGCACCTAAACACGGTACTGTACTGTGTTTAGCACCTGAGATTGCCCATGAATGCCCCACCTGAATGCTTGCCAGGGCCTCTCAGGAAAAAATGAGTAGGGAGCTTCTTCCAATACCTGGGAAGGACAAACCTTCCTGTCATACAGGTCTCTTACGTGCAAGACGTGGAGCCGCCTTCTCCCAGCCTTCTCTAGATGCAGTGGATTCCCTTCGTTGCGCACTACCCCGCTTGGTCAGCCATGCACAAACAATTCCCATTCCCCTCAGGTTCCGTCGTAGGACCTCGCTGTTGAATCGGGTGTTCTCCTTTTCAGTAGCCGTGCCTCATCCGCCTGACCGCCGCGAATTTGTGGCGAATTCGTCTTCACTCTCCCTACTGATCACCCGTTTTCCACCGATCACTCCTTGGATCAGCCCCGTTACAAGTCAGATCCGCCTCTCACACCCGCAGAACAGATCCCGCGTATGAGTGCTTGTGGGGCGTCTCACGAGTAGCCTAGCACGCTCTAATCCCGTTTCCGCCAATCCGCTCAATTCCCCATCAATCTTCACCGAATCCACCAATGCACCTATCTCACACTCCCTTCCACACCCGCATTCCCATTTTTGCCTCCCATTCCCCTTAGATCCGCCCCCCTCCCCCTCGAATCCCCCATAAAACACGCCGAATCCGCGAATCCGCCAAGGTACGTCACTCACACTCCCTTCCATACCCGCATTCTCGTTTTCGCCTCCTATTCCCCTTAGATCCGCCCCCCTCCCCGTCGAATCTACCCTAAAACACGCCGAATCTGCGATTTCACCCAGGTACGTCACTCACACTCCCTTCCACACCCGCACTCGTTTTCGGCTCTCATTCCCCTTCGATCCGCCCCTCTCCCCGTCGAATCTGCCCTAAAACATGCCAAATCCGCGAATCCACCAAGGTACGTCACTCACACTCCCTTCCACACCCGCATTCTCGTTTCTGCCTCTCATTCCCCTTAGATCCGCCCCTCTCCCCGTCGAATCTGCCCTAAAACGCGCCGAATCCGCGAATCCGCCAAGGTACGTCACTCACACTCCCTTCCACACCCGCATTCTCGTTTCTGCCTCTCATTCCCCTTAGATCCGCCCCTCTCCCCATCGAATCTGGTCTAAAACACGCCGAATCCGCGAATCCGCCATGGTACGTCACTCACACTCCCTTCCACACCCGCATTCTCGTTTTCGCCTCTCACCCCACACTCACATTGCCTCCTGCCGCCATCCCACCTGCGTGCATAACAGTAGCTCCAAGTAGTTTTGCTGTCCTCGTTTGATCGGTCTCAGTTTGGTGTACTCTTTTATCTCTTGGCGAACCTGTTTCTGGTCGCGGCTGCTTTTTCAATACCCTCCCTGAGCACGCCTCTAGACCCGGTCTGTCTAGTCTGCTCAGTCCGCAGCTGGCACGCCACCAGCCCTTGTCCACCCCTTGCCATTGCATCTGCCACTGTCCCCATCCTTCCCCTCTGTCGGTAAGTACTGTCATATGCCCAATACTGCATGCCAAAGCCTCTCAGAACGGCCCCAGTCCCTGATGCAACCATAACTGTCGCTTCACCACCTCTGCATCCCCTGTGCTTGAATGTGCCACTCCGCGAATCGTTAAACTCATGACTGACCATGCTTTACCGTCTGCTCCCTCTGTTTTGCATCAGCAATATCGGTTGAGCTCTCACTCTCCTGTAGATCTGCATGTTTCCCCATTTAACACTTTCTTTTCTCACATCAGCACATGCACTATCCCATCAGCACATGCTCTCTCGCATCAGCCCATGCTCTCTCGCATCAGCACATGCTCTCTCGCATTAGCACATGATCTCTCAGATCAGCACATGCTCTCTCGCATCAGCACATACTCACTCACATCGGCACATGCTCTCTCCCATCAGCACATGCTCTCTCGCATCAGCACATGCTCTCTCGCATCAGCGCATGCTCTCTCCCATCAGCACATGCTCTCTCGCATCAGCACATGCTCTCTCGCATCAGCACATGCTCTCTCGCATTAGCACATGCTCTCTCCCATCAGCACATGCTCTCTCGCATCAGCACATACTCACTCACATCGGCACATGCTCTCTCCCATCAGCACATGCTCTCTCGCATTAGCGAATGCTCTCTCCCATCAGCACATGCTCTCTCGCATCAGCAGATGCTCTCTCGCATCAGCACATGCTCTCTCCCATCAGCACATGCTCTCTCGCGTCAGCACATGCTCTCTCCCATCAGCACATGCTCTCTCATATCTGCTCATGTATGCACCGCATTCTCATTTTTCTTCCACCCTGTTCCTAACCCAACTCTCCCTTTTCAGGTTTGGCATTGACAATATGTACAAATGTCCTTACCCACAATGCACCAAGCGCTATCGCAGTGAGACAAATCTGACCAACCACGAGCGTGCTCATGATGATCTGCCGCCGGCACCGGACCATGAGGAGACTTACCCGCCAGGGGTGCTGATTCACCCATATGAAGGCTTACCTGAGTGGGCCAGCAATCCTCCCGAGTCGTCCAATGGTCCACCGGAGTGGGTAGCACCGGAAGTTGAGCATGTAGAGGAAGAGGGTGATTGGGAGGCCTGGGAGTACGAGGCGGAGGAGGGGTTTGTAGATGCGTCAGCCTATTTTTCTGATGAGGAGGCTGGTGTGGGCCTTTTTGACACGCGCTTTGAGACCTTTAGGTTCCTTGCGCAGTGAAATAGGGGCACTGGTCTGAGCTCACCTGACGTAGCAGCCTTCCTTCGGCTCATCACGCATGGGGATTTTAACAAGGACGACCTAACAGGCTGGAAAAGCAAGGGCTCAGTCGACAAGTACGCCCAAGAGCATCTAGGGATAGAGAAGCAGCAATTCAAGACAGCAATCGTAACAGTGGCTGGATGGCCCAAATCTTTCAAGGTTAAATACCTTGACCCTATTGAGGTAGTGTCCCAAATCTTTGCATCGGCTGTCGATGTTGATTGATAACACCAGTGAACTATGGAGGAGTTTGTTGATGTTTCAGGCTCTACGGCGTATGTGGGCAGACCCACGGATGCTGAAGCCTTTGTTCACAAGCTGCGCCTGTGTTGATTAATGAAGAGCGCGTGTATAAAGAGGCACA